TGCCCCCACCATCCAGAGAACTTACATGATCCAAGGTCATCAGTGCCCTCCTAACCACCAAACCCATGGCATTTTCTCAGTTCTTATCCTCCTAAACCTCTCCATTGTCTCTGACACTACTGATCTCCCTCTCTTTATGAAATGCTCATTTCTCTTGGCTGATATAGCATTGTACTACATATTTTCCAATCTCTTTCTTACTGCTCTTCCTAGGTTTCTATATCAGATCCTTTCTCATGCAACCCCCTTAACTATCAGTTCTCAACTTTTTCTCAGCTGTGACACATAACTGATGTTTACATCGGTGACATATTCCCATGGGCATTCCCAGGGTTATGCTAGCTTCCCCTCAAATTCAAAAACGCATTTGTTCATGGGGACAGGGGGCAGGGGGAGTGGTGGACTAACGGGTACAAAACTATGCTATCTACCCTAAGCGAATCATTGTGCAGTACATGCATTTACTTTAACAACATACTGTACCCCACAAATATGTACAATATTAAATATCTTGAATTTAAACAAAAAAAATTAGTGCAAGTAAGAATGACAATCATAGGGAAATAATGATCTGCTTAAAATTAATTTTATAACAAATAAATCATTTGGAAACCTAGATACTTTAAATACCGTTATTAAAAACAAATTAATTGCCCCATACAGGCATTCCCCGAGATTTCAGTCTAGGCCCTCTTATCTACCTCTAAGCTCTTCCTTGGCGATCTCATCCTGCACAGCCTCCAATCACACTGCTATGCACATGACTCCCAAATCTGTTTCTCGTGCTCTGATCAGTCTCTGAGCTCTAGACTCACAATGTATAAGTCACTTGAGTGTCCTAGTAATATCTACAAACAGCCAAGCTAAAACTGAAAACATTATTTTCACACCAAATATGATTCCTCTTTCTACTTTCCCTATGCTGGTTGATGGCACCACCTAGGCTTAAAACCTCAGACACGTCTTAGGCAGCTCCCATCCCTCAATACTCTCTTCAAAAAGTCCTATAGAGTCTACTTCTGTAAAGTTCTTGCACCCATGCTTTCCTTTCCATTCCTTTCACCATCACTCTGCCTCAGACCATCATTACTTTTTATCTGAACTACTGGTCATCCTGTCTCTAGTTTTTCTCCCCCATATCTGTACTCTCACTGCTATCAAATTAATCTTCCAAGGATCACACACTCAAATACCTGGAAGCCAGAAAGATAATATAAATGAATAAAGGAAGCCATGTATTTGCATGTTAAAAACATAAGAAAATTATTCACTTCCACAAAGAAATATGCTTCCTCCCACTTCTTGGAATATGTGATACTCTTAACCCATCATTTACTTTACCAGTTAAACCATTTCTGTACCACTACTAATTAAAACAACAGTATGAGAATGGTGATACAGTAGGTCTCAGTAAAGAGGAGAAAAGAGGAAGTGGTGGGGACAAACTGAACAGCATTGCTCCTTTTAAAGGAGGCAGCTGCTCAGCTCTAGCAAATTATAGCCCCACAAGAATGGGGGACTAGTATTGCCAAATCTTTGGAATTTTTAAAGAGAAGCCAGAAATCTAGATTTTGTTACTTGGTTTCTCTTCTCAAAAACAAACAAACAAATAATCAGGCTGATAATTAAAGACTGACAACCCCTCCTGTTAATGCATCAAGCATTTTCTCATAGATTCTGGTTCACGAATTTAGCTCACAGCAATTCCTGGGGAAGTGAAACAACAGAACAAATGCTTATGAGAGGCTACTTTAGACCAGACTCGCTTCCTGACCTTCCTCCACCATAGGTTATGTGTCCACCTAGAAACACACAACACAACACAATCGTGTCCCAAAGGGTGGGTCACCAAATCCTCAGACCAACCTAATAGGTCCCTAAATCTGCAGGTCACTCCCCATTCCCCAGTTTCATTTCTCTTTACTCCCATAAACACATCATCTGCTTTAGCCAAATAAACTGCTTGCTTATACCACTTCACTCACTACGGTAGGTCCCTAAATCTGCAGGTCACTCCCCATTCCCCAGTTTCATTTCTCTTTACTCCCATAAATACATCATCTGCTTTAGCCAAATAAACTGCTTGCTTATACCACCTCACTCACTACGGTATCATTTCCCGCTTTTCCACCAATCATTCCCTTCACGAGCCTGCTCAAAATACACCTCCCCCAAGGAAGCACTTCTTCATTAATGTTACCAGATACTAATTTTTTTTTCTGCCTTCTCATCGTTAGTCTACACTACAAAGGCTTGCAGAGTTGCATTAATTACTGTATTCTTAATGTTTCTGAAAGCGTTTCATGAACTCTTCGTGAAAGGAATAGATCTTCTTCCCTCGCATTCACGACCTCCCCAAACTTCCAAAAGGCCTGTCTCAGGGCAAGTGGGGCTGGGGCGGGAGCAGCAGATTGATGCTGCTAAAGCACCTCCCAGGTCTCCCGGAGCCAAACCACAGTTCCCGCGACTGGTGCAGAGCACCACCCGAATCCACCCAGACCCCGCCTTACCCGTCAGCTCCCCAGTCAGGTAAGTGGCCATTTTGGAGAACATGTCCCGGCAGAGCTCAGTGATGTCTGCCTCGGCGGGCTCCTTTGCTTCCTCAGCTGTCTCCACCGCGGCATCGTCTGGGCCAAGGGAGAATGAGTAAGCGTCCTGCCTACACCCGATCCTTATCCACCAGATCCCCCCACCTGTCCTCATTCGATCAAGTCGGTTCTAGTCTCCATCTGCTATAATTTCTCTGTCCTTGCCCACCTGACACAATTCTTCTCTCTTGCACCGCCCCTCCCTCATACCCGATCCTCGGGCCAAACCCCCTCAGTCTTTCTAACAGGACACTCGCGCTCACATAGACAGGTGCATCCCTCCGACCTGCCCGCTCCTGCCAGCTGAGCCAACCATACTACACTCGGCCCCGCCATCCCGGGTCCCTACCCGGAGCCCCAGGTCCCCCGCCGGGCACTTCATCCCCATCCACTCCGGGTACCTCGAGAGGGCTCCTCACGTCGGGTGGCCGGGACACCCTCTGCGGCCGCCGCCATGCCGGTCCCTGCGCCGCTTCCGGTTCTGGGGCTTCTGCGCATGCGCACCGGGAGGACACCCCCTCCCACCCCCGCGAGCGCCGCCTTGTAGTCCTGCGCCTCTCTCCTGTCTTGCCACAGATGACTTAGAAAAAGTGTAAGCACAAAGCTAACGTGAATCGATCCGCTGCTGAGAGTCCCGACATCTGGGACTTAGGACGCGCTCCTCCCTGCAGCCACACCCTGGAGGCGTCACTCGTCTTGTACGACACACGACCCATCGAAAACCACCTAAGTCACTAGAGATAGGTTGCCCCTTCCCCAGACAGGCTGCACGCTGGTTGGTGTTAGTTACCAAAAGATTGCTCAGGGAATCCATGCTTTTGCAGGTTGTCTCATCCAGGCTTTGGGAAACCTTCAGGCATTGATCCCTGATCCTAAATACTCTCCCTCCCAATGTCCTGAATTAACACCAATTCATTGGTGCCTATTTCTTAAGCTGCAGGCCTGCACCTACTTCTCTTCAGTTGATACAGCCTTTCTGGAAGGAAGCTTAAATGTAACTTTTTTAGGGCTGAGGCCACACTCTGGTTATCTTAATTGCACAGAGCTGTTTCACAAGTCTCCTAGGTATGTAGAGTACTTAATGGGATGGGAGAACGTGAGTGGGTGAAGGGAATGGATGAGAAAAAGTGACTGGGGAGCAATGGAAGGTGAAAAATGAAGAAGGAGTAAAGGTCACAGGAGAAGGGAGAGGAGATATACAGTAGGACTCAGGATGCAGGATCCTGGACACTCAAAATCTTGGTGTAGGAGTTTCTTGTCTTATCCCTGGTTTTCCTCCATCTTAACCCTCTCACACACACCCCACACCCTTACATATGTACACACACACACACACACACACACACACACACACACACACGCTCACCAGCTACCCCCACCCCCTGCTCTCTTAACCTGACTCCGCCTACTCTGAGGACTGGGTCTCCCTGAGTCACTTGTCTCCATTCTTCCTTATGGTACAATCGTGGTGCCAACCATTTCAAACCCATTCCTACAAGGCAGAAGTTCTTATTTCAGAACTTCTGGGGCAGTCCAGCTCCTTCACATTGTCACTGCCCCCACTGTATACCACCTAGAGTGTATGAATCTACCCCAACCCAAGCACATAGATGGCTCACAATTCCATCCTCTCTTCTTTCCTCTATAATCCCAGAAGCAAATACAAAGTCTTGGTTTTCCTAAGGAGTTTTATTGATAGTCACCAGGGAAACCCACATTGTCCTGTGGAAGAATAGAGTCAGAGCCCACCACATATTAGTCCAAAGATCTCTGGATTGTAAGGTCATTTCCTTGCCTAATTTCCTTTGGTCTCCATTTTCATCTCCAGGTTTATAGCCCCCTCAGTTCCCAGTGTTCAGTGGAATGCCAAGAGGCAGACACCTCCAAAAGAGTCTTTCTTCTTAGACTTTGCTCTGGGAGGGTATCACTGTAACTCCTCTGCAACACTAGAATCTCACCATTTGAGAGTCACCTCTCCTCTAAGACTTCCCTTTCTCTTTTACAGGAAAATTCTATGGGGCAAGATGAGAAACCCATGGGTGCTAGCAGCATATCTTTAAATACACAAAGGATAAGGATAAGATTCACTGGCAAGTAGGAAGATATCTAGACATTGCCTATTTTCTTGGCTTCTACCTTTTTCACACATCGTCGCTATCCATGATAGCCACTGGGGAGTCATTACCCTCCCTTCCTTTATCCTATTTGTTATTGACATTTTTTATGACCACAGTAGAGCTAAGTGGACGGGGAGTAAGAAGCATAGGCAATGTTATTTCACAGGGCTATGTGGCTACACACAGAAACACTGAGTCATGAGCCTAAGCATGATGCCTAGCTAAACACGGAAACATTGGCTCAAAAGGCTAGATGCAGGGTGGGACTTGGCAGCAGCCATGATGGGGCCTGCTGCCCTAAAAGCGGAGGGCATGTGGAGAGGAGGCAAAGAAAGAGGAGCCTGCTGTCTGATGCTTTAGGACCCCTCCCCGACACTCTCCTGTCCACCCTGAACTCCCCAGAGAACTGAAGTCAAAGCTGGGACTGGCTGCAGGTGTTCCCAAATGGCTTGTTCCTCCTGTTGGAAGAAAAAGGGACAGGTCATTTAAAGGAGTTGTGCCCCCCTTTCCCTTTCCCTGGATATAATTCTAGAGAAGCCAGACTGCTATAGACTGAATATTTATGTCCCCCCTAAATTTATATGTTGAAATCCTAACTCCCAGTGTGATGGTGTTAGGAGGTGGGGCCTTTGATAGGTGACAAGGTCATGAGTGTGGAGCCCTCATGAATGGGATAAATGCCCTCATGAAAGAGAGTTCCCTTGCCCCTTCCACCATGTGAGGACACCGTGAGAAGATAGCTGTCTGTGAACCAGGAGGTGGGCCCTCACCAGATATCAGATCTGCTGGTGCCTTCATCTTAGACTTCCAGCCTCCCAAACTGTGAGAAATAAATTTCTGTTGTTTATACGTTACCCAGTCTCTGACAGTTTGTTATGGCAGCCCAAATAGATAAAGATAGACCATCTCCTAGAGGCTAAGGCAGCCCTTAGGCCAGGGCAACCAACTTCCAGGCCTTTCCTTCACCCCCCACTTCTACTAATACACTGACCACAGTGAAAAGGTTTCCCCAGGAGCCTGAAAACATAGTTCTTTCAAAAATGTTCTCTCCCTCCACCCACTGAGCAGAAAAAGTGGTAGAGTTCAGCTATGGGGAGCTAAGAGGACCCAGGTGAAGGACCACTCACCATGCTTGAGGAGGGAGCCAGCTGCCCCTTCCTCTCCAGCATCTTCAGCTTTGAGCCCACAGCATCAACCTGGGACACGACTCCTTCCAGGACAGTCTCCAGCTGCAGAACTCTCCTTGTGAGCCTGTGCAGGATTTGAGAGAGACCAAGGGAGGAGAAATACGTGTCTGGGGCCTGGGTGCCTACAGAGGCAGAGTAACAGAATGTTGTGTGTGTGGATGGGAACAAGTAAGGAAAGGCTCAGCCTTGTAGGGAGAATTGAATGGGGAGCAGAGGTTCTCCCTGGGCTAGGACAGGGAATTAGAAAGTTGTGGAAGGAAGCTTAAGATAGGATATTACAAACACAGCCAGCCCTCTGCCTCTGGCTGCACGTACGTGTAGAATTCGTCTCCTGAAACCCAGCCTTCTGGTCTGGTAGCCTCCAGGCCCAACTCTCCTGATGGGCTGCTCACAATGGACTGGCCCAGGTTCTCAATCTCAGCCTTGAGGGCCACCTGATCAGGAAGTCATAGGTTAGTGGGGAGAAGATTACTCTGGAAGCCATCAGCTCCTGTTCTATCACCTGCTCTAATGGGCTCTCAGGACCAAGCCTTGGGATCGGTACTTGCTATTCCCCTTCCCTCCCAGACACGAGACAATAAGGTCAGGGTGGTGATGCTGGATCAACCTCTGGAGAGGGAGTCGCCTCCCAAAGAAATCCAGCCTTTGAAGCCTTGATTAATTAGGTGTTCACTAGAGGCCAACTCAGTGTGGGAGAGGGAGGAACAGTACTGGAATTCTTGGCACTTTCCCTTTTCATCTAGGGATGAAGCAGGCATAGTAGGAGCAGCTGAGGATCAGAGTTTGAAAATCCCAAAGAGAAGGCAAGTCCTCAGAGGGAATTGTTAGGGATTCTTGGGCAATTGGTCCTTTTCCCCTAAGACTGTGTTTTGGAGCCATGGTTCTTAATCTTGGCTATGCACTGGAATCACCTGGGGGGGTTTAAAAAGTACTGATATCTGGACCCCATCCTCAGAGATTCCTATTTAATTGGTCTAGGGTGTGTGGCCTTAGTATGAGGATTTTGAAAGGCTCCCCAGGGTATTCTAATGTGTAGCAGTTTGAGAATCACTACTCTGGAGAGTTCCTTCCTGCTCATCTATGGGAGGATTTTCAGTTTGGGCCAGGGGGGGAGGGGAGGTTGTGCAATTTTCCTTACACTGCCTCCCTACCAGCCTACTCACCCTCTCCTCCTCCAGGTCCTGTCGCATTTGTTCCTGCTCTTTCTCATCCAGGATGCGATTCCCATCGCGGTCAAACCGCGTGAAGGCGGCTGTGAGCTCAGTGATCTGATGCTCTGTGTGCCCCAGTCTGAGAAGAAGAGGATGATGAAATGACTCCTGCCCTGTCGTGACTGATCTCTTCATTATGGACTCCCCCTTCTTTTATCAGACTCTGGCAAGAGTCTTGCTCTCTGGGTCTTGCTTTCTGGGAAAGAAGTTGACCACATGGGAAAGCCAGGATCTCCAATGTCTAGTAACTTTACCTCTAAAAAATCACTTTAATCTATTTTTCTTTCTCTCCTGACTCCTGCTGACTAGATTCAGGTCTTCCTGACCTCGTATAGGGATTATTGCCTCTAAATAACCCGCCACCCCCCCGCTTCCCCTTCACTCATCACTCCCGAAATCCATCCTCCATAATACAGCTAGAGTAATTAACCTTTCTAAAGTGCAAGTCTAAACACACCCTTTTTTTGTTTAAAATCCCTCTTGCGGCACCCTTTGGATAGAGTGTTGGTATTTGAGGCCTTTCCCATTGTGGCTCTTGCCCATTTTCCTGGTCTCATCTCCTGTTATGATCCACCTACTATGTGATACCTTAGCAATGCTCAACTACTTATTACTCCTCAACGTGTTCCTTGGTTTCAGACCTCTATACCTTTGTATGTACTTTTATCTTTTCTTGTAATGTCCTCTGCTTGTTCACTTGTAAGCTATTCATCCTCCAAAATGCTATTCAGACATCACCTCTTCCAGGGAGCCTCCCCTTAAGCTCAAAGGTAGAATTGATCACTCTCTTTACTCCATGGCCCCTCTTTCTTAGTCATTTCTGTTGTTGAACTTATTCTGTGATTCACTGTATTTGCTTACATGTCTATGAGCTCCTAGAGGACAAAGACCTTGTCTCATTTAATTATGTTGTTCCCTACTCAGTGCCTGGCCCACAGGTGGTGCTCACAGTATATTTGGTCAATGTTTAGTAATATGTTTGACTTGGAAGCAGGGAGAGAATGGTTAAAGGATTAGACCAGTGTTTGGGGAGGTGGGGTGGCACATAGAACGATGATCAGAGTTTTGTGGTAGTGGGGCATGTATGCAATGATTTAGGAATTATATTATTATATTAGTGCTAAGAGTTGTTCAGCGAGGTCCAGAATGTTATAGACCACGGTCAGAGACCTTTAAACTAAGGGCATAATTCTCAGGTCAGGACCAGAGACCTATGGGTCAAGGACAGAAGCCTGCAAGGTAACGTCAGAGGACCATAGACCAAGACCAAAAGCTTATAGGGAAAGGAAGTATAGTTGAGGGTCAAGGAGTTATAGACCAATATCAGAGAAGGTTGGATCTCTGCTTGCTCACTCCCTCAAGGTGTTGGTGAAATCTTCGATCTGGATCTCCTCCCCACTCTGCAGGACTTTCTGCACATCTGAAACCCGCTCCTTCCTCAGACGCAGCCTTAGTAGCGTCTTGTTGTAGCCCTGAAAGGGAAAAGAAACAGTCCGCACAGGCTCCTTATCATCACTGGCCTCCACCCCCACCCACAGGATGCCAGGCTTCCCAGGATAAGTCAAAGGCACACAAAGGCACAAGCTCTATACCAGTCAGGAACAGACCAGGACAGAGCCTTGGACCTGGGCTCTGATGCAGATGTGCAGCTCAAGGACACAAAGTAGTCACCTGTTTCAGGAGGTCAGAAAGCTGAAGCTCATCCTTCTGTCCAGCCAGCTCCTCCTTGACCTCTGAGTATGTGTCATTGATGATGGCCAGGAACATGTTCTGGAGGATAAGTAAGGGACCTGCCTCCTTATGACCTCACCCCCATATTCTCTAAAAGCATTGAACCCAGTGACCCCATTAATGCACCAGACACATGTTTTAAAGGGGCCAATGCCCTCAGCCCCAGCTCTGCAGCCCATCAGTCTCTGCTTCTCAAGGTCCTCATAGCCCAGCCTTTCAGCATAATTCTGTTAGGAATGGATCATGCTCCCTCACCAACCTGATGTCCTCACTCTCAGTTGCTGCAGTAACCTTTCTGACCACACAGATTCCCCAAATACCACAGACCTCCTCCATACAAGGGCCTGCTAATCATTGAAGCCAGAGATCTTGCAAGGTGAGAGCACAACTGTGGTCTCTTTCTCATCAACCCCCAATCCACGTCTGTATCCCCATTCATTGATCAAATAAGGCAAACTGCTGATCTTGTTAACAGAAATTAAACCCAGATCTTTCATGGTTGGTCGTTGAGAGAACAACTACCAAATAATGGCAGTAGAAATCAGCAAAAGATCTCCAGAGAAAGGGGAGTCTTGGAGAATAGGCATAGAAGCTTCCAGGTGCAGCTCCTTCTCCTCATCAGGCACTTTTCCCTCCCTTTCCATCCTTGGAGGATGGGGGTTTGATTTTACTGAGGCAGTCTACAGGTTCTCTTCTACTCTACAAACTGCCTGACCGTGCTGGTTACATGGACCACATTAGCCAGCACTCAGAAGATCCAGAAGTCCCCCCAACTCCACTCCCCAGCCTTGACTTGAGAAACCCATTATAATGCTGAGTGGGGGAAATAAAGGGACCAGAACTCCACCCTACAGACTCTCTATGTCCCCACCCCTCAGAGGACACTCACCAGCAGCACGAAGAAGACGAAGAAGACATAGGTGACAAAGTAGACAGGGCCCAGGATGCGGTTGGCATTGTCAATAGCATTGTAGTCAAAGTCCCCAAGGATTATTCGGAACTGAGTGAAACTGAGAGACCAGGTCTGGACTTCACCTCAGAGCCTAATTAAACCCTGACCCCAACCCACACTCCCATTCCACTTTCATAACTCCAGATAGACCCCTCACTGCACTTCCAACCCAATCTGATAGAGACAGAGCAGTGTGCACACACCAGGGCTTCCAGAGACTCACACAGATGCTTTAAGCACAGGCGCACCCACACACATCTACCCATCTCCCCCAAGGATACATATACCCATGGAGCTGGAGGGTGAAGGGCCAGGGAGGAGTGAAGCGGGCAGGACACACACATGCACTTACAGATGCTTTAAGCACAGGCGCACCCACACACATCTACTCATGTCCCCCAAGGATACATATACGCATGGAGCTGGAGGGTGAAGGGCCAGGGAGGAGTGAAGCGGGCAGGACACACACATGCACTTGATGAAAGTGCTAAAGTTTTCCACTTGGGTCCCGAAAAGCAGGTAGCCGAGTTGGGCATAGGCGAAAAAAACAATGAAGAACATGACGGCGAAGCCCAGGATGTCCTTGGCACAGCGGGCCAATGTGGAGGAGAGCTGGGTCATGGTTTTGTTGAAACTGATGTACTTGAATATCTAGAAGGGCCATATTGAACAAGTGGTGAAGGAGGAAAAAGAAAAGCATTGAAAAGTCCATTCCAGGGACCTGTGGAGGCCACAGGAATCGCCAACCAGACAAGGAAAATGAGACACATATGAAAGAAGGAAGAATGAGTGCCCCAAGGCAGAGCTGGAGGTGGGGGGTCCCCGGGTACCTTGATCCAGGCAAAGAAGAGGTTGACAGCATTCATGTTGTTGTACTGTGTCTGCCAGAAGGCAAGGAACTCGAAGTCAGCATATGTGTTTGGCTGCTGCAGGAGCTTCCCCATCAGCCGATTCACCTCGAGGGTTCGGAATATGTGGAAGCCCACGGCCACAATGGACAGCTGTCACACAGGGGTCACGGGGATGTCAGAGAAGTCAAGGGGATCTCAAGGAAAGCTCAAAAAATGATGTCCCAGGGAGAATGGGGGCAGGTAAGATAGGTGGAAAGAAACGCCCTTCCCTGCTGAGTTGTTCACTATCTCAGGTTCAGATGGAACTGGATAGGATAATTGGGGAGCATCTTCAGTGTTCTAAAGCTCAGGAGAAAGCTTTGGGGCCAGTGGTAAATATATAGGTTGCAAAGAGTCACAGGAATAAGCCAATAAATTTTATTTCCCCCCACCCTCACCACTTCCAAGTCTTGTCAGGAACTAAAGGTGTCCTGTTAGTAGGAAAGAGAAGAAAATGAGTGGGCAGAATATTTGAATAGAAGAGAAAAGGCAGAGATTTCAAGGGGACAGGTCATGAAGGCAAAAGACGGAAGAGGAACAGAATACGAAGTACATAAAGAAAAGAGCAGGTCCCGGACCACAGATGAGGAGGAGAGATGTGGGAGACAGGGTTTTTCAAGGCTGAGCCAAAGGAGTATCAGCCTCTCACTTCAGAAGCTGTTACACAGTCATGTGACCAAAAGTCAGCAGGAGGACTTGGAGCTCCAAGAGGAAAGACACGGAGCCCCTATCAAGGTGGAGCCCCCTCCTCCTCCCAGTATCTCAGTCCAAGATAACCGTCCCTCACCAGGATGACCACCAGGTCCAGTATGTTCCAGATGCTGCTGAGGTAACGAAGCCGGTGGATGTGGAGCTCCAGGATCTCCTCCACCACATAGTAAAAGATGAAGATGCAGAAGATGATCTCACAGCCAACGACAAAGAAGTCCCAGTTGCTGATGTAGCGGATCAGCTTAACCGTGCGGATTTGCCAGGATGGGATGGCGCCTCCTGTAGCTGGAAACTCCACCACCAGTCTATGGGTGTGAGGAGTGGGGGAGCAGATACCTAGTGGGGCCTGGGCTGGGACTGTCCCATTTCCTCTCCTCCCCACCCCACCATAGGGTGCAAGTCCAGGGAAGGGTCTCAAGCACAGGGGAAAGGAACCAGGAATCATGGATGGACAGAGGCAGTAGGAAAGGGGGGCCCACCTCAGAACACAGAAAAGATTGATGTTGGCGTTGTAGACTGAGAAGTCGATGAAAACCACCCGGGTGCCCCTGTCCAGCCAGAGACCCTCCTGAAGGTCCCGGAGTGCTTCTGCACTGGGCTGTCGGGATCCTGGAAGGTCCAGGTAGTATCCGCCTCCACTGTAGCTTGTGAGCCTGCCCCAGTGGGAGGAGCCCCCCAGCTCATCCTGTGAGTGATATGTCCACCTGCCGCAGAAAAAGCCATCTGAGCAAAGGCCTGAGCCAGCCCAAAAGCTCACCTGCCAAGGCAATGGCGAAACTTTGTCATTGTCTGGGCTTTATAGTTTCACATACTTAGGTGCATATGTGCAAGGGAGTCTTCCAAATGTTCATGGAAAGTTTAGTATTATCTTTTAATTCTATTTTTCCACAAACTTTCTGAAGTACCCTCGTATATGTGTATATATATTCTATATGATATATATGTACATATTATGTATACTGTATGTGAAATATACATTATTATATATTATATATGTGAAATATATACATACGTATAATATATCACATAGAATATATATTTCACATATATTATGTTGTTTGATACTAATAACTGAGAAGGGAGGGAAAATATTGTCTACATTTTGCAGAAGACAAAACTAAGACTCAGATAATCCAGTTATACAGTGACAGAATAAAACTCAAATGTAAATCTCCTAATGTTTCCCTATTTCACTCAAGGCTATAGATAACAAAACCAAGCCCCAATTTTGGCCCCAACCTGAGCAGTCCCCATAAGGGAAGCCCCTGGAGCACACAGTCCAAAAATGATCCATCTGGCTCTTGTGATTGTGCAAATGGCTGCTCAACCCCATGATTCTCTGTTCTGTCCACCAAACTTTCTACCCTGGGCTCTTATTTCCTCTGCCTTCCTTCCTGTCCTGTCCACCCTTTTCTTTTTCTTCCCTGATTTTTCCTCCATCTTGACCTCTTGCTGCTCCCCCTGTCAGTCCCAAGGGCTGGACTCTCCGACCATGACTTGTGTGGCAGCATCAACTTCACCCATTCTCTACACCCCCAAAGAACTTCTGGGCAAGAAAGGATGGTTTCCCTGGAATGACTATTGGCCAGGTAGGATGAGTGTGACTATTCCCTGTGAATGCGAGCAAGTCTGGAGGCTATGGCTCTGTCACTAACATACCTCTTTTGATCTTAAGTGACACAGACCAAGGTCTCCAAACAGTCACAGTTGGGACTTATGGAGATACCTCCCCAAATCCCCTGAAGTGCCCCCAAGGCTCTTTTAGCCTTGGTAGAAGTGGATCCCACAGTTTGGTATGGTGTCACACCCAGAAGGACAAGCCCTGTGACATCAGTGGGGGGTTCACTCACGCTGTGCCATTGAGGGACCCAAAGGGGAGTTGCTCTTCTTTGTCCGGAGAGTAGACATCATAGCAGCACAAAATGTCCTCACGGAAGTCCTCATGCACCACACAGGAGTCATTGCGGACCCTCAGCTGCCGCAGCCTCGGAGCCCCCAGCAACAGGTTCTCGTAGTAGATGAAGGAATGGGAGCCGTGGCCCAGGCTCTGGTTGTTGTACCATTTGGTCCAGTACAAACTGTCCAGGAGTGGGCCCTGGGCAAACTGGACCACGAGCTGGGTTGTCCTGACCCAGTCCTGACCTCCTCCCTTAAATTTACCTTCACCCTCACTCTCTGACTCCCAGCTTGTGTCCAGTCTGCTTTTGTTGGACTCCTCAGCTGACCCATGAACCTTGACCAGATCCTGACCTGATATGACCTTACTCTTTATTTAAAATGTATTTTGAAGTTCAGCCTTACTTCTAACTCCCATTACTGGTCTGGTTTGACTCCCGGATCAACACCCCGATTCCTCACCTAGCTCCACCTGCACTCTAGTCTAACCCTTCAGCCTGACCCTCTGACTCAGCCTGATCCCTGACTGACCTCATTATCTGACCTCCACGAACTTTGACCTGTGGCCTCAGGCCATTGAGGGGAAGTTAGGGGTAGAAGAGATCTCATACTTACATCCCAGAAGTCTGCCATGCTGCTGATGTCCCGGAAGGCGACACCAGTGTCTGATGGGGTATGTAAGAAGAGCTCAGACATCACTTTGGTGTAGTAATAGGCGCTGGAGCTTGTCATTCCATAGGTCACTAGAAAAAAACCCAAGAGGTTGTGTCATTCTCACTATTCCCATCTCCATTCCCCAGAGGAGACAGGAAAGCTCATTGCCCTGGGGCCAGAGATGCTACCTAGATGATAGCCTGTCATACCTAACCCCTAGAGTTGGCTGGGAAGGCTTATGGTGGCATGATTAGTGCATCCTAGTGGGCACAGTAGTGTCCTGAGAGAGGGACTCAGAGAATCCCCAGATCAAAAGAGACCAGGCCTTTAACCTGAAGAACTGGATCTCCCTCAACCACTCTAATGCATACACCCAGTCCCATGTGCCTAAAGTAGGGCTGACAAGGGGAGCTCTAAGTTTTCTGGTTAAAAGGCAGGATTTGAAGAGTATAATCTATTTAGTTTATAGAGTGTCCCTCAATTTAGGTTAGTCTGATGGTTCCTCATGATTAAATTCAGGTTATGCATTTTGGGGAGGAATACCATGAAGTGATGCTGTGTCCTCAGTGCCTCATATCAGGAGGTAAATATCGTTTGTTTGCCTCATTACTGGGAATGTTAACTTTGATCCTTTGTTCAGGTGGTATCTGCTAGGTCTCTTCAATGTAAAATTGTCATTTTTCTGTAATCAATATGTATTTTGTGAGGAGACACTTTGAAACTATGTAAATATCCTATTTCTCATCAATCTTTCACTACTAATTTTAGTATCCATTGATGATTTTGCCTAATTATTACCAATATGGTTGTCAAGTGGTGATTTTCTTATTCCGTAATTCCTTTTGCATTTATCAGTTGGCATTCTCTTCAGGTAGAGCTTTCTCTTCTTTCCCATATATTTATTCGTCTGTGTATATTAGTTTGAACTCATGGATTCTTATTTTTTCCCTATGCATTATAATTTGCTATTGTTCATTTTGTTACTCAGTTTTGGGGGTCAGGTTATGAAAGATAAAGAAAGACTAAAGAATTTTTCCAGACTAAGAAAATACGAAAGAAACATGAATAGTAAATGTAATATATAATCCTGGAATGGATCCTGGACTATATCTTTTTTTCTTTTCTCAAAGGCTATTAGTGGAATAATTGGTGAAATTGTAATAAGATCTGTTCATTAGATGATAGTGCTGGATTGGTGGTAATTTCCTAACTTTGATAAGAGAATATCCTTGTTCTTAGAAAAGATATATGTAGATGTTTAGAAATAACAGGGTGTGATGTCTACAATTTACTCTCAATGTTAGTGTGTGTGTCTGTGTGTGTATATGTATGTGTGTGTGTGTGTGTGTGTGGAGAGAGAGAGAGGAAGGGAGAGAATGATAAAGAAAAAGCTTAGTAAAATGTTCATATTTAAGAAATCTGAGTGAAATGTATAAAGTTTATACAGGAATTCTTTGTATTTTTCTTGAGACTTTTCCATAAGTTGGTAATTACATTAAAAATTTTAAAGTAGGATTTGTCATCCTCTTGTGAGCAATTCCCCTCAAGAATTTTCCTTTTCAGACCTTGGTCCATATTTTCTCCCACCACCCCACCTGGAAGGGAAATGTTTTGGGGTGGACTAGACTATATCCTTGGAGGAAAGGAGGACCAATTAGTGATCCCAGACTGGGCAGTAACATCATACTTTTTAGGAGGGGAAATCAGCAAAGGAAGCATTATTACTCTACATTACCCCATTCCACTCTATTAAGTTCAAGACATGGTTTCACTTTTCTCTAACTCAAATCTGTGATTGCCTGTCCCTAGTATCTGGAAAAGGACTCAGATTCGACTGAGTCCTTCTGATCTGAAAAATGGGCTCCCACTGGAAATCAAACTTCTGTTTGCTGAGAGCCTATCACAGTTAGAACTGGTGGTTAGTGAGCTGTCCTCGTGACACAGGCTGATTAAATCGTTACATCTTCTTAATGGCCACTAGGTGGTACTCATTGCTACTGCTTTTCCTCTTCAATTCTGTTACTGCTCAAAATTAACATTGCTGTGAACTGCTCCATATATTGTGGAATAGTATCTCTGATTATTACACAAGAAAGTAAAGACAATGTCTTCTGAAAAAAAATGGCTTCACCTGGTAAAATGCCCGTTGACATGCAGAAATTCAGTATTCGCTTTTCTTTGCAACTTTTTAATTGAAATGTATTCATATAGAAAAGACCAAGAAGCAACCTTAAAAACATTCTAAATTAGGGCCTAAATTTGGTTTAGTACCTATTAAACACTTTCTCCCCATTCACACATCCTTTCTTCCTGGTTAATTCTTATTTCTGCAAATTTCGTACTTGGTCTCACGAAATGAGGGGTACTTTCCCCTAACACTTTATGAAACCCAGACTCAGTATTTCTCATACCCCCAATTTTGATACTTAGTAGCCCATTTCATCAGTCTATCAACTTGAATTATTCTAAAGAGTAATTTTATATTTATTAAACAAACATTATTCAAAGTCTACCATGTGTGAAATACCTCACTAGATATCATGGTTTCTATCCTTAAAAAATTCTATTGAGGAGACATGTCCCAGAATGAACTTGGTATAGTAGAACGAGCTTGAGCTTTGGAGCCGGACAGACATAGGTTCAAATTCCAGTTCTGCCACTTACAGTACAGACTTGGGCTCTGAGTCTCAGCATCATCATCTGTGAAATGGGGAATATAATACCTTTTAGGCTACTTAACAAATAGTTCTCATCACTGTATGGTATTCTCCTCAGGGATAAGGACTGTGTTGTATTGATTTAGCATAATGCCTGGTATTTAACTGGTTCTCAGTAAGTGTTTGTTGGGCTGAACCAACAGTGGAAAAATAAAAAATAACTATAATTCAAGGTAGAATGAAATAACAGAGTAATTTGCAAACTGAGGAAAGTCTTATGACTCTATATTTGCCCCATAACAGCAATGTCATCAAAATAGTCAAGAACAACTTTTATTTAGTAGATGTTGGAAAGAAGCTGGAATATTCCTTAGTCTAAAGAGAACAATAAATTCATACATGTCTTGGGTAAGAGAAATGAAGCCAGTCCTGGCTGACCTGATGAGCAAGCACAGTTGGCCAGTAACCCCTACACAGTGTGACAGTAGAAATGGTGCTGGCAGAACTCAGTATCCCTAGTAAGTCACTTATTGCCTCAGGCCTGGAGGCTGCAGCAATCCAAATCCAAAAGCAGGGCAGAGGAAGTTCAGGGTTGCTAGAGGGGGTGATGATTCCAGCTCCTGTGTCTTTCTCCCCTTCTCTTAACTCACTTATAAGCAAACTTTAGCCTGCATCAGAATTGCCTGGAAGGCTTGTTAAAACACTGACTGCTGTAGGTTTGAGTGGGGCTCAACAATGTGTATTGCTAATAAATTCTCAATTAATACTGATGCTACTGGTCTTGAGACCATACTTTGAGAACCATTACCTTGACCTGTTGCAATCAGGCAATCAATCAATACCATTTGTCTTTAGTAGAGATGTCAAGAAGGCAGTGGGTTTCCCAGTGTCTGTTTCAGTGATTCTCGAGACTGGGAGTGGAAAAGGGGGAGTGGGGGGAACCCCTCCCAAAGGGCTCTCAGAACTCCCTGGGATTAGGAGAGCTTTGACAAACTACACAGACCACTCAGAACACCCCCTCCCCACCCTGGCAGAAAATCACTGAATCTATTGAACCACAGGTAGTCATGCGAGGCGATCACATATCTTGGGTGCCTTATTGTAGAAGATTGAAAACAACTTGTTGGTCTTTCCTGGTGTCTCCCTCCCCCCACCCCAATCATTAGTTTCTATTCAGGTAATAAGGATCACGGTTTGACTATACCATGAAGAACCAGCCTGTCTAACTGGAACACCTGGTTTAGAGATTTCTGAATCCGCCAGGGGCTCAACATATCCATTTTACCACCATCCTTCTCCATATTGGGAGAAAGAAATGACTAGAGTAGCCACTTATTCCCTCAGGACACCTATCATATGCCCTGTGCTAAGTGCTTGACATGCTTATTTCATTTAGTCCTACAACAACCCTTTGTGGTAACTGCTATTATTATTCCATTTTCCAGTCTCAGAGTTTAAGTAACTTTCCCAAGGAAAACAACTAGTAGAGCCAGTATTCAAATACAAATCTGTCTGCCTCCATGGTAGACAGATTCGGTACTGCTCCATGGGCAGAACTATATCCAAGACATAGAAGTTACAGAGGGAATCATTAAGCTACATAAAAGGCAGCCCTTCCTAGCCATTAGTGCTTTCAATTAAGAAATGGGCCACTTCAGAAACATCCTTTTCACCATTGGGAGTGTTGGCAAAAGACTGTCAGCTGAGGATCATGTGAAAAGGTTGCTGCACTGGGCAGGGCTGGCCTTCCTGGTTCCTTCCTTTCAGATCCAGTGAAGGAATGCAATTGCTGTATGTATTTCGAGAGGTGAGACAAGACCAGACAATGGAAGGAATCAGAATTTGACTCAGTATGTTAAATGCCGGTACGTCCATATGTCATAATCATTTTGAAGTAGTGAAGGCCTCATTCCAAGAAATTTTCAGAGTCTGGGCAATGAACACATGAAAATGCTCTGAAGGGGATTCCAGGACCAGGTGATGGTTTCATACTCAAATAGAGTATCTGATTTTTTTTTTCTTTTAATGTTGGCCTCAGATCAAATTCACAGTTGCTCAATAATAATAACCATATTGACACTTATGCACCAAGCTTTGTGTACATTGTCTCCTTCAATCCTGAAAAGAAGCTGATAAAGTAGGAACTAACATCTCCATTTTATGCAAATAACTGAGATCCAGAATGTTATTAAATAAGTCATCCAAAAATTATATAACAAGCAAATAGAAAGTGGATTCAAACTCAAGCCTGCCTACTCCAAAGACCATGAATTTAACCACTACTCTACACTACACTAATTATGACAGTCTACCACCCTAAATCCTTCTGATTAGGGACTCTGACTCTCCTTCCAAAATTCAATCCAAACGGTTGGGATTGTGCAAGTTTATAAGGTGTCTTTATATGCAAACTCTATTTTAATAGGTTAATG